GGTGCGTGGGGGGTGGGGGTGGGGGTTGGAAGTGTGGGTGGGTGGGGGTGGGGGTTGGGGGTTGGGGGTGGCAGGGTGCGTACGGTCTGGGGGTTGGGGTGGAGCTAGGACCAGCATTGGCAGCCATGCAGGTCGAGGGATGAAGAATGGGACCAGGAGGCAATGGGGCCAGGAGCCATGGGTCCAGTGCGGGGGCGGGGTGCGTGGGGGTTGGAAGTGTGGAAAGGGTGGGGTGTGTGGGGGTGGGGGTTGGGGGTGGGGGTGGAGCCATGACGCCAGGAGCAAAGGGGCCCACATGACAAGCACGGGCGGCGGGGCAGGTGCGTGCGGGGTGGGTTGCGGGTGGGGGTGGAGCAGCTCAAGGGATGAAGATCGGGACCAGGCCATGGGTCCATGAAAAGCATGGGGGCTTGGGCAAGGGGAATGTATGCGGAGCGGGAAGGGCGGATGGGCGGGGAGCGGGTGCGTGGGTGGTGGGGGTAGGGGCGGAGGGGAGCCATGGGGCCAGGAGCCATGGGTCCATGAGGGGCATGGGTGCGTGAGGGGCAAGGGGTAGGGAGCTGGGTCCATGAGGGGTAGGTCAAGGGGATGGAGAGTGGGAGCATGGGCCAGAGGGGAGTAGGCGGAGGTGAAGGGCGGAGGGCGGAGCGGAGCGGGCGGAGCGGGCGGAGGGCCCGGGCTTGCACTGGGGCCCTTTAAAGTCAGCTGAGAAGCCACATCCATGAAACCAGGGGCCCATGACAAGCACGGGCCGGGCATGCACTGGGGCCCTTTAAAGCCAGCAGAGAAGCCACATCCATGAGCCGTGGACCATGAGCCAATGGGGCCAGGAGCCATGGGTTCAGTGGGGGGTGCGTGGGGGGTGGGGGTGGGGGTTGGAAGTGTGGGTGGGTGGGGGTGGGGGTTGGGGGTTGGGGGTGGCAGGGTGCGTACGGTATGGGGGTGGGGGTTGGGGGTTGGGGTGGAGCAGGGCCATATATAGGACCAGCGTTGGCAGCCATGCAGGTCGAGGGATGAAGAATGGGACCAGGAGGCAATGGGGCCAGGAGCCATGGGTCCAGTGGGGGGGCGGGGTGCGTGGGGGGTGGGGGTGGGGGTTGGAAGTGTGGAAAGGGTGGGGTGTGTGGGGGTTGGGGGTGGGGGTGGAGCCATGATGCCAGGAGCAAGGGGTTCATGACAAGCACGGGCGGCGGGGCAGGGTGCGTGCGGGGTGGGGGTGGGGGTTGCGGGTGGGGTGGCGGGGGCCAGGAGCCATGCGTACCCATGAGGGGCATGGACGGCGGAGCAGGGTGCGGGAGGGGTAAGGGGTAGGGAGCTGGGTCGTCAAGGGGATGGAGAGTGGGAGCATGGGCCAAAGGAGAGTGAGTAGGCGGAGCTGGAAGGGCGGAGGGCGGAGCGGGCGGAGCAGGGGGCCCGGGTATGCACTTGGGCTTTAAAGTCAGCTGAGAAGCCACATCCATGGGCCGTGGACCATGAGCCATGGGGAGCCATGGGGCCAGGAGCCATGGGTCCATGAGGGGCGTGGGTGCGTGAGGGGTCAGGGGTAGGGAGCTGCGTCCATGAGGGGTAGGTCAAGCGGATGGAGAGTGGGAGCATGGGCCAGAGGGGAGTAGGCGGAGCTGGAAGGGCGGAGGGCGGAGCGAGCGGAGCGGGCGGAGCGGGCGGAGGGCCCAGGCATGCACTGGGGCCCTTTAAAGTCAGCTGAGCGGGCGGAGCGGGCGGAGCGGGCGGAGCGGGCGGAGGGCCCGGGCATGCACTGGGGCCCTTTAAAGTCAGCTGAGAAGCCACATCCATGGGCCGTGGACCATGAGCCAATGGGGCCAGGAGCCATGGGTTCAGTGGGGGGCGGGCCCATGACAAGCACAGGCGGCGGGGCAGGGGGTTGGGCGTGGCAGGGTGCGTACGGTATGGGGGTGGGGGTTGGGGGTTGGGGTGGAGCAGGGGCCATATATAAAACCAGCATTGGCAGCCATGCAGGTCGAGGGATGAAGAATGGGACCAGGAGGCAATGGGGCCAGGAGCCATGGGTCCAGTGGGGGGGCGGGGTGCGTGGGGGGTGGGGGTGGGGGTTGGAAGTGTGGAAAGGGTGGGGTGTGTGGGGGTGGGGGTTGGGGCTGGGGGTGGAGCCATGACGCCAGGAGCAAGGGGCCCATGACAAGCACGGGCGGCGGGGCAGGGTGCGTGCGGGGTGGGGGTGGGGGTTGCGGGTGGGGGTGGAGCAGCTCAAGGGATGAAGAATGGGACCAGGAGTCACGGGTTCATGAAAAGCATGGCGGGGTGTGTGGGGGGCTTGGGCAAGGGGAATGTATGCGGAGCGGGAAGGGCGGGTGCGTGGGTGGTGGGGGTAGGGGCGGAGGGCAGCCATGGGGCCAGGAGCATGGGTGGCAGGGCAGGGTGCGTGAGGGGTAAGGGGTAGGGAGCTGGGTCCATGAGGGGTAGGTCAAGGGGATGGAGAGTGGGACAAAGGAGAGTGAGTAGGCGGAGCCAAAAGGGTGAAGGACGGAGCGGGGAGCGGGCGGAGCGGGCGGAGGGCCCCGGCATGCACTGGGGCCTTTAAAGTCAGCTGAGAAGCCACATCCATGGGCCGTGCACCATGAGCCATGGGGAGCCATGGGGCCAGGAGCCATGGGTCCATGAGGGGCATGGGTGCGTGAGGGGTAAGGGGTAGGGAGCTGGGTCCATGAGGGGTAGGTCAAGGGGATGGAGAGTGGGAGCATGGGCCAGAGGGGAGTAGGCGGAGCTGGAAGGGCGGAGGGCGGAGCGAGCGGAGCGGGCGGAGCGGGCGGAGCGGGCGGAGCGGGCGGAGGGCCCGGGCATGCACTGGTGCCCTTTAAAGTCAGCTGAGAAGCCACATCCATGGGAGCAAGGGGCCCACACAAGCACGTGCATGACAAGCACGGGCGGCGGGGCAGGGTGCGTGCGGGGTGGGGGTGGGGGTTGCGGGGGGACCAGGAGCCATGGGTCCATGAAAGTGCGTGGGTGGTGGGGGTAGGGGCGGAGGGGACAGCCATGGGCCCCGCCAGGGTGCGTGAGGGGTAAGGGGTAGGGAGCTGGGTCCATGAGGGGTAGGTCAAGGGGCATGGAGAGTGGGAGCATGGGCCAAAGGAGAGTCAGTAGGCGGAGCTGGAAGGGCGGAGGGCGGAGCGGGCGGAGTGGGCGGAGCGGGCGGAGCGGGCGGAGGGCCCGGGCATGCACTGGTGCCTTTAAAGTCAGCTGAGAAGCCACATCCATGGGCCGTGGACCATGAGCCAATGGGGCCAGGAGCCATGGGTCCAGTGGGGGGCAGGGTGCGTGGGGGGGTGGGGGTGGGGGTTGGAAGTGTGGGTGCGTGGGGGTGGAGCAGGGGCCATTTTTTGACCGGCATTGGCAGCCATGCAGGTTGAGGGATGAAGAATGGGACCAGGAGCCATGGGTCCATGAGAAGCATGGCGGGGTGCGTGGGGGGCTTGGGCAAGGGAAGGAGCGGGGGGCGGGGTGCGTGGGTGGTGGGGGTAGGGCAAGCGGGCGGGCATGCACTGGGGGCCGGTCGAGCTTTGGATGGGGTGGAGTAGGTGGTAGGGGCAATGGGTCTTCACTGACGCCGCCCCCGCTCCGGCTGGGGTCGGCGGATATAATATGTATCCGTATTTCTGAAAAAAATCGCTCGCAATTGTGAGAATCACTGTCGCATGTTACGTGAGCTGCCGCGGACGAGGCCCATCGTACCAGTAGTAGCAGTTGCTTGCATTGCTCCCAGGACAAGGCTGGCCATCCCTGCAGACCCTCGGCTATTGTGCACAAGATGGCAACATCAAAACCTTGCGGACATGTTGTTGTGTCCACTTGGCCTGCGCAGCCGGAGCTCAGGAAAAGCACGTTCTTTCTGCGGAGCTGATGGCAGAGTTCAGCCCAGGAGAAGTGTTTTGCAGCTTTGTTTGTTGAATTGCCCTCGCGCACCGCCTCCTCAAGTAAGAATTGCTGCTGGTTTTCCAGGCGCAACGGTTATTGTCGATCTGGACAACAACGACCTCACCATGCGCGACTACGGAGTGGATCGGCTTTTTGTCTGAAAGGGGGCCTCGCAACCTCAGAGCAAAGATGGACCTGCCAATTTTGGTGTAGACTCGACGAATGTAGCTGGGAAGTTCAGTCTGAGATTTTTTGAGCGCTGAGATTCGGGCAGCAGATCTACTTCGGCATCGACAGGCTGCAATCCCCGCATGAGTTTTGAAGACAGCTGAAAGCTGAAAGATGTAAAGATGTTGAAAGGAACCTTGTGTGACTCGCACGATCGGTGTTTGCCTGGAGGCTTGCCGAGCTGGATGAACTCTTGGAGTCAAACCCAATGTGATGTCGCCGGATAGAGGCTGACTTGTACTGGCACCTCGCACCAAGGACGTGTGTTTTCAGCGAGCTGGCGCATCTCAGCCGTCACTCTTTCGTTTGCAGGGTGCACTCCATCGGCCTTTTCGAGATCGTTTCGACTTCAAAGTCAAGTCTACTTCGCATGTTTCTCACCCGCCTTTGACATGCAATTTAACAGGAGATTGCCGCTGCGAAAACTGAGCGTGTTTCAAGTGCAGTGGCCGGAGTGTAAGCGCTTGCTCTGTGCATGGCTGTGGTGTTGGGGTATGTGGAGGTGGCCACTCTTGATATGTAGCCTTGCATTTCCAGTAAATACCACTCCAGACACGTTGCAACCTTAATGGGGTCGATGCGGAGAACGCCCCCGGGAAATAGGCGAATGCACCATTTCCGACGTCGGAGGATGCCAGCACCTTGGTTTCCACGATGGCAAAACACGACTCCCGAAAATCTCGGGGCCATGCCTTCTCGCCTAATTAGGCGAGAACCCGATTTTTTGACCCTGAGCTTCCAAAGGCCTCGCCCAGTCGAGAGTTCTGTGGAACTTCCGCTGCTGTGCCGCGCGGGGTAGTTAACGTCAACACAACGGAACGGTGGAACCGGATATTACGAATCTGTCGTGACAACGAACTGATGACCTTGCAGCGCTAAGCTTGATGGGCTTGTGGTTGAACGACAGTGAGCTTTATCCTTTGCATGGCGGCTCGGCTCGGCTCCACCACGGCCGCGCGGGATTAGGAAAGCTGCGTATGTCGCTGTTGCGGCAGCTTCCTCGGCCCAAAGGCTCGCGACTGAGGACAAAAACATGCAAAAACCAGAGGCAAATTCTCCTTTCGATCCTGGCTGATGAGGCCTTGCTGCCTTTGGCTATGTCAGGCCCTCCATGTGTTTGCCTGCCGAAGCCTGGGAGCTGTTAAAAGTCTCCGCATTGTATGTGGAGGGTGTTTCACCTGCACCATGAAACTAGGTCCAAGGCGACTTTTCGATGGCGGACAGTAGCAGCGCTTTCGATGTACTTCTGTTTCGGCCCGAGCTTTGATGGCGAGAGTCAGTGAATAGCTTTACCTCCGATCCTTCGTGTGTTCATCGCCAGCCCCCCGCAACCAAGGTACGACGATGGTGCTTGCAGAGCGTTTGCCGGTAGATGAGGTTGAGATGGAAGAGGAGTGGCTGTGCTCGCTGCACTGCAAGCTGTCATGTCCATGCAACGGCATCGGCGCGGGCACAGCCGCCGTGTGCAGTTGTGAGCACTTCCCCATTTCGGCATTGCTGGCCATTCTGCTGCCTGGCACGTTTCTGAGACTCTGAGTTGGTACTGTAGGCGGGTCCTGAGAGGACTCAGAGAACGCTCCCGCAAAGCCAGCTGCTCCAGAGGCTTTCCTGGCGCTTCTGGTTCATGTGATCTCTGCCAATTGATTCGTGACATAGCCTGGGTCACTGCCCCTTCCGGGATCTCAATGCTCACCCAACACTTTGTAGCCATGCGACACTCGCATACTCGGGTGCAGGTCTTTTCGCAATCTTGTTAACCCGCTGGCACACATAGTCCATGAACGTCCATGATCAAAAGACTCCCGGCGGTGAGTTGCAGGCTTTTGTCGAAGCGGAGCAAGCGGAGCACATACCCGCAAGCAAACTGAAGGCTGCTGCAACGGCTTTTGCTTTTTGATTATCTTTCCTAGTTTGTGGAGCGTGGAGTCCTGGCGCCAAGAGGGAGACGAACGTCAGCACACCACTGTTGCAGATAGCTGAAATCCCACTTATCATGGTACGGCAGGCTTCAGATGAAGCTTCAGAAAGCCGTGCCGCTGCAGAGGCTCCTTGGCAGTGCAGAAAAACAGCTGGAGGGTGACCACGGAGTTGGAGTCGTCACCGAAGGGCATGTGCTAATCGAGAATGTACATGCCAAGACTTAGACTGGCATGAACCCTAAACCGAAGACCCTGATTCGCAACGAGCCAGGCCTCCTCAATGCTCGGGCTGCAGAACCACGAGAACGCATCGGCCTCGGTTGGATCTTCCAACTTGATGTGGTGTGAACAACATGTAGCCGTTGCAGCGCGCGAGGCCTCAGCGAACACCCTCGTAAAGACTGCACACAAGGCATTCCCCCGATATCGTTCGGGCCTATTAGGGAATGTTCGGGAGACTCTTCGGCATCGCTGAGTCTGTGGCCCCTCTTGAAACCCGTGGGCGCAGGCCTTTGCGTCGGCGACAAGTTCGCAGAGAGCTAAAACCAAGGCTCAGACTCATGTTTCTCTAAACGTGCCAGAACCTTGCAGAAAGCCAAGAGCATGAGCTTGAACTTGAAGATCGCAAGCTCTTTGGCAGAATTCGGGAGGCTTCCATGGCCAAACAGAAGGCTGCGATGCACCGGCTGTTTGACCGACGAACCTCCGAGGTGCCTTGCAGCGGCCCGCTCTTTGCTTTCATCACAGCTCGTGGCGCTGTAAATAAAACAGTATACTTACAGCAGGGACAGCACATCGTACATGTAAGCCAGCATAAGATTCAAGCTAAAGTGGCCGGTCGCTGCTCGAATGGTACTGCAATGACAGTAGGGGCCAGGACTTGCTCCCTCCGAGTTTGCTGTGCAGAAAGTTCTGCCCGTGTGCCCGTAGCAGAATATGTTTTACTTCCTGCATGTGATTTGTTTTTAGTTGGCGCCCGCCGTTCTTGTGGCAGTCCAAGTTTGGTTCGGTGCAGGCAGCCCACACAGGGCACATCTCGGTGGTAGCAAAGACCCATGGCTCGCGACCCAGTCACTGAGTCAAGCAACTAGACGAGAAGGAATAACAATACTGGAATGGGAGACCATTTCATTTGCATCATGCTAACTTGTCCCCCGCTCCGCCCCGCCTTTCGCCGGGAAAAAAGCATGATGTAATGGAATGTGAAACCATTTAATCGTCGTTAACCCCCCCTCCCCCAGATGGCAAAACATTTCATTGTGACTAAGCTTTGTTGAGAGCTCTATTTACCCCTGTTATTGCCCGATAAACAGCTTTGATGGTGGTAGCAGTGTAGTAGTACGTAGCAGTAGCAGTTGTAGCAGTAGTCGCAGTCGCCTTCATAGTCGAGTCGTGTTAGTAGTACTTGTAGATATTCGGCTGATATGAAGCCCCAGTCCCTTATTCGAATGAATCAGAATACTGAAATGGTTTCCCATGCCCTCATATTATTATCATTCAGGGAAGGAAATAACTAAGAATCCGGCTCCCGTCCCACCCCCTCCGAAATAAAAATAGCAATGGAATGGTTTCTCATCCCGCTTTTATCTAAATCTAAGGGGCTGTCGAACAAGCAGCCGGGCGCGCCCGGAACGGACAACAAACAGGGTTTGGGCGCAAGCCGGAGTTTTTTAGCTTCTTTCGGAAAGGAGGAGGATGGGGGGGTGGGGGGGAGGGCGGGGGGGGGGGGGGGGGGGTCGTCGAATAAGAAGAACAAGAAGAGCAGAAGAGCACGAAGCAACAGCAAGAGCAACGAGAACAACATCAACAACAGGATCATGAAGAATAACAACAAAAACTGACAGCATCAACACCACCACCACCACCACCAACAAGAACAACAAGAAGAGCAACACGAAGAGCAAGAAGAACAACGACGGCGACGACAGCAACAGCAACAGCAACAGGAACAGCAACGGCAATAGCAACAGCAACAGGAATATCCGCAAACACAACAACAAGAAGAAAAATAGTGATGACAACAAGAACAAGAACAAGAACAAAAACAAGAACAAGAACAAGAACAAGAACAAGAACAAGAACAAGAACAAGAACAAGAACAAGAACAAGAACAAGAACAAGAACAACAACAACAACAAGAACAAGAACAAGAACAAAAACAACCACAAGAATATACAATTTCGGGCACCCCCTGCCACTTCCTACGTTCCCCCCGTTTGGTGGGGGTTCCCATCAAAAACGATAATGATGGTTTCCTTCCCTTCCCCCCGCCCCCGCTTGCCACGTTCCCGTCTCTTTCGTGTTGCGACAGTGCTGGTCTCATGTTGCCCCATAACAAAAACTATACTTGATCTCCCCCCCCGGCTAATTACCTTCCCCCGTCGAGTGCCCCTTCATCCTTTGCTTCTAGGTGAGAGCTGAGGGGAATAATGACAACCCTCCACCCCCCCCCCCCCCCCCCCTTGCGTGCGCCCTCAGCACATTGTCCGGCGGGGTGGAAGGCGAGGCGAATGATGCCCCTGAGGGCCGGGCTTTAGGAATTGCTGAGACGCGAAAAACAAAGTTGGCTTGAAGACATTGTTGGCACAAGTGCGACGTACCCGTACCTCAACTGAGGGCAACCAACATGAAAGCCGCCGTGCACTTGTTCTCAGCTCCGGGTGCCATCCAATACCCTGCACGCCAAGGCCGACGCCACCAGCGTTGGGACTTGGGCAACGACTATTCTAGCGACCACGAGCGGGAGGCAAGTGCTGTGCCAAGTTTTTGACGCATCTTTTTGCAGATGGTTGCTGCTTGGTGTCTGTGATAGCTGTGCCCCTACTATACCGGCTTTCCTGCCAGAGCACCGCGCATCAGGAGGATGAGGATGGAGACGCATCTGCCGAGTCCATGTCGAGGTTTCTGCTGATGCAAACTTAAAGTGGTTCTCACTTCTGCTCATCCAGCTTGCCATACATGATTTGAGACTGCAATATCTGCAAGTGGAGATGTGTCCTGCGCGAGCCAGGTATCAAAAGCTGACAGCGGCAGCCTTGGCTAGAGTGCAGCTTTTTGCAAACAAGGTACTACTAGCGTGTTGGGAGTTGCATGATGGAGCTGATGCAAGCTATGCATGTCAGAGTCAGGAAGACCAGAGACAGCAGATGCGAGTGTTGGAACAGGCCAAGTTGCTCTTTCAGACATGCAAACGGAACTTCAGAGCTATGTCGCGCGAAGATGTGTTCAGTCCGACACAGGCTCAGAGCACACGTGCAAATACAACGGTCGATGCGTGCAAGGAGCTAGACAGCAAGCATCCTGCCAACAGCACGGGTGGCGTTCTGGCATCTGTTGCCGAGCAGCCGTTCCTCGGCAAATGAAGAAAGGTGCCACGAAGTTTTACCCTAAACCCTAAACCCTAAGCCCTAAACCCTAAGCCCAAACCCTAAACCCTAAACCCTAAACCCTAAACCCTAAACCCTAAACCCTAAACCCTAAACCTTAAGCATGCAAATTGAGCTCCAAGGATGCTGCTGGCAGTGGCCGGAGGCATCGGAGCGTCTGTCGGCAACACGGGCAGCATCAACTTCGATCGGGCCGGAATCCTCAGCATCTCATGCCGAGGCTTTAGGGTTTAGGGTTTAGGGTTTAGGGGACACTCATGCAGGGCTTAACGGCCATCATCTGCACCCCCAGCACAGCCTCATGACACTCGCCTTCCTGAACGTCAGGATTTAATTCGCCGAATGAAGATGCAGGACGTGGTCGTCATGTGCTTGCTCTTGTCGGGCCCCTCAGCGTTGGGAGAGGTTCTGCGCAATCTAGGAGCATGCTGAAGAATGTAACATGGTAACCTAGAACCACACAGGCAATCATAATAATGAAGGTGATGAAGACGAAAACTTGCAGTGCCTCCAAGCCGCATCCTCTGAAAGACTACGACCATGTCTGCCAATCAAGATGGTCGTTTTGCGGGCCAGCTTGGCCTCGAAGCCAGTGCGGTCCTCCTTTCGACTTGGCTTGGAGTTTGTAGGCGCAAACGGTCTGCTCAGCCCCCGAGAAATGGTCAGAAATACTCGCAAGTTGCTTGTTGGCGGACTGGCCACAAATTGAGCTCCTGTTTCTGCCGTGGTCACCTTTGTCGGAGCCCTTTTCTCCACGAAGGCTCAACTTGCAATGGGCGCGGTCTGCAGGTTTGTCTACTTTGCCACTTTGTCCTTCAGCGCGTGCCTGGCGCACAGACAGGCGCAGCACGGCCGTAGCTGTTGCAGTCATGCAAGGCCCAAGTCCGGGTCAGAGCAGCATGCGGCAGGCTGCCAATAGATCTCGGGTGAAGTTCTACGCAGACCCGCGCATGTACATCAGCACCGCGTGGGGCCCGGGCATGAGAATGAAGAATGAGGATACACATGGATTTTCCAAAACTACTACAGTCGTCCACCTCATGATATCATGAAGCGGAACGATGGCATACTACTGCTCTGCGACCTATGGCACGACCTGCCAAATCCCAGGTAGACCAGGCAGAGGAGACCGTCTTCCTGGAGGCAAAGGGCAGCTCTCTGTGTGCAAATGGCTATGAATCGTGACTTGTGAGAAGCCAAGCCCCAGAAAGTTGTTCTGTACGGATCCTGAGCCATCAGGTCAGGATACTCGAAACATGTTGAACGCCAGTTGGTATGCCAGGTTTGGAGTAGCTTGCAGCGGTTTGAGGTTCAGGGCCTGAGTGTCCGCTGTTTCCTGCATCTTGAAGGCTTTCAATCAGCAGCCGAAGCAGGTTCACCTTCGAGCATTTGCCCTAGAATCCAAGATCTCCAAGTTCCAAAAAGCGTCCCAGCTTTGACATCAGTACTTTCGCGGTTTTTGCGTCGAGCCAAAGGGAAGTCAAGTGGGCGAGGTCACAGGCTACCTCCCGGTGACCAACAACTTCCCGGGGTCTTTCTTCTGGAGAGGCACATATGCTCGTTCCTCCCGCACAAAGGGGCTCCATGCAAAAGACTCGCCCACGCTGAAGATGAATATGCATGAAGAATTCGAAGAGGGTCAGCGCCCAGCTGCCTTCAAGTTTGATCTTTTCATTTCTGCAGATGGCCTCTACGCCGTCGCATTTTCCTTCGCGCTAGACTTGACGCACGGAGCTCATCAATGTTGCTTGCATGGATGTGGTTGGTTGCCGGCCGGTGGCCGGCGGCACTTGGGTAGTCTCTGTGGCATAGCAGGCTTGAAGCTTGCAATCATAGCTCATCATTGTTAACATATTCCGCTGAGGTGCAGCCAGGGCTTTTCAGGCAGTATCAGGCAGTGCTGTCGAACCTAAAATCCCCGGAGCATTAGAACATTAGAACGCCTTGGCAGCAGCTTGCAGCTCCTGCCTTGATTGTGAAGACCGTCTTAACTTGGGAATCCCGGCAACACAGGGGAGTTTTAGTAATCTGAGCTGTAACTGGGAACTATCTCTCCGGCTCCCTTTGCTCAGGCCATGGGTGTCACGAGCTAGCATCCGTTATCCAGAGGACCCCCTCTGCAGCTTCTGCAGCGCCCCAACCCTCTCTTCAGTCAACTTTGGTCACCTCTTGCACAGGACACGGATGATGAGGATGAACCAGACGCCGGGTGCTTTCGCGCAGCACTTGCCAAAGTAGGGGGATTGCATTGCATGGTTGCAGTGTAACTGACTTTGTACCAGGCTGGAGTGGAGGCGCAGGAGACCAATTTGGTCGAGAGATGCATAACTAGTGATAATTGGGATGCTGGACTCGACTCACGAGCTCACTTCATGGTTTGCCCGGTATGCACCTGAAACAATCGCCTGAGCAGCTTCCAAACCGCCGGCAAGTCTCAAAAGTGCACGAGATCACAAACAATAGAACTTCCACGTAGTGTCTCTGACCCACGGCGTGAAACGGAGGACTTGCTGAAGCTTCGCAAGTTCCTGGCCGAAGATGCCAACGAGATGCTGGCATGTTCTTGGCGTGAGCTACTACTCTTGCGTCGGTACGGACCAGTTTCATGGGCATCCTTCTCATTGGAGGACATGGCCATTGTCGAAATGTCCCTCTCTCAGCCCAACTTCTTTCAGCTGTTGGCTGTTTCTTGTTTTCATTGTGTCCCGTTGGACAGCATTCGAAGCATGTATTGGTTGCAAACGAAGATGTCGAGTGCGTAAGAATGGGCAAGTTTTAGGCGCAGGCTACCGTAGGTTGATTCGGCAGGGTCTTGCTTTCATAATGTGATTGACTGATGTAGGGCCGAAGGGCACTGAGTGCATATTTGACAGAACATCTCCCACGTACAGTGGTGTTTCCTGTCATCATGACTTGGCGATGCCATGCGACACCAGAAGACTGGTAGCACTTGCTCACATTAATGCTTTAGCTCAGAGCCAAGGAGAAAAACTATCGATTGGGCATGCTGGGACGAGCTGGCAGCATGCCTTAGTGCTCGAAGAGTCCCTGCACTGCTGCAAGTGGCATTCGGCTGCAGTTATTCGTGATCCATCAAGGCCATGAACATCAAGCACCAAGTCCGCCAAGCTGGTTTTCAAGGACCGGTCTGCCGTGAGTGCGAAACATGCTCGTGCCCATGTGGTGGAACATGCTTTCATCGCTGGTCGCAGGAGTTATCAATATTGATCGAACGGAGCAGGAAGAGATGTGCGTGTACAAGCCAGGCTCTCAGCTTCCTTCTGTATGATGGCCGATGATTGCTCTCTGCTTCTTGTGCGAGCTAGAGACTGCAAAGGGTACCTTGTTTTCGGAAACCAAACCTATGAACACACTTCGAGATTCTCGCAATGTCATGTCAGAGTGCCTCGAGTTCTTAAAGTCCACCAGGCAGGGTTCGGAGGTTTGTTCCGGCGCAAGTGCTGCTAAATGCTGCCCCACATGACCGGCTTGATCGTTGTCCGCGAAATAGATGGCCTCCAGCGTGACGAGTGACAGCTCACGGAAGAACGCGAAGATATGCAAAGATCGCCAGTTGCAAGATGTCTCAGATGTCGAGACATCCTTCCCCCATGCTCATGTTTCCAGAGGCATCGCAACATGCAGTGAACCGAATGCAGGTGGGGACTTGCAACGGTCCGCCTTGCATGGCACGGGGGATGGCCGGTGGGATGAACTTGCAGAATTGTTGCACCCGGTGCAAGTTTGCCTCGGCAACTCGGCTCCGCCATTTCCCCCGTTTTTTTCTCGAGTTTGTGGTTCTTCCCAGTGAAGATGATTAAAGCGGTATATTCGAGAGCGCCGCCACCGATTCCCCTGGCCCCCGCCATCCCACGCCGATGTTTTGGGTCTGTCATGGCCTGTCTCGGCGGGCACGGCCGGTTCCTTTTTGTTCCTTTCGCAGTTTCTTTCGTTGTAGTTGTTTGATGCTCTGTTGATGGTTTTGCAAGTGCAAGTGCTGCGTTGTGTCTGTGTGACTTTCCAAACTCCCACAGATGCGGTGTTTTCTGCAGAAGCCTTGTTAACTTACAAACGAGGTGTGTTGTGTGTTCGCGCTAGCTTTTGGTCCCGCACGTGTACGTGCTTAAGAGTTTCGTTGAAATATTGCTTGAAGTTGCAACATCATGTTTCACGGGCTCCTGCTGTTGCAGCTGTGATTCGTGGAGGCCCGAAACAATGTTGCATGTTGCCCCTGTCAAGTGCTGGCACGCTGAGCTCCCCAACGCAAAAACCGGTCTGCGGCACAATAGTTTCGATGCCTGCCGCACCCAAGGAACACGCAGTGGGCCAACTTCATGCACGGCAAAGCTTTGAAGGCACCTGAGAGACAAAAGCACAGCTTTCAGATGTTCTCCAGGAAGAGCGGGGCTATCATCTTAGTTTAAGCCTGAGCTGCAAGTGAATTCAAGTCACGGCGCGAGTATATCGTGTCTCAGTCGTAGAATTCACCCAGCTTCGGGCTGCGCTTCCGCCCCTCATGTGATCATCGGGCCCTGACATGATTGTGGGATACTGCAGGTGCTGTTGGCCCTCAGTGTAGTGGGATGGCTCGTTTACGTGCCCCAGGCTGAGCTGATGTGTTCCTGCGTGTTCCTGCAATGTCTACGTCTCGACCGTCTCCTCATGGCCATAGCTGCTTTCCGCATTTGTCCACATTCAGCTTCTCTCGCGATCCAAGGCCATACATGTGGGTGCGATGCACGCATCTTCAAGTCCGCTGCGCGCACAGCGTCAAGATTTCAATAAGCCGCTGCCTCGACATGCTTGTTTGCAAACTGATCCTGCACCTCAAGTGTGGCTCATATTGATGCCTCGTTGATGGAGAGAGCGATCTTTACCTACTGACAGAGTGGGGCCACTTTGGACTTCGGAGAGCGATCTCGGAGTGACCTTTTTTTGTCACATCTCTCATTCGCCGGCTCTCCAAAGCAGCGCAATAAGGTGACTTCTGGCCTTTCATCGCTGACGGCCTGAGCTCTAATGGCCCGCACCCCAAAGAATTCTGTGGAGAGGGCGTGTCACTCAGGCACTTCCACAGCCATAGGAGCACGTAGGAGCATCAGGCACTTCCGCCTGAATGTGCCCCATCATGTTGAGGGGAGTTTGCTATGGTTTGCTTTGCCAACATTTGCCATATCCAAGCTCTGCTGTGGCCTGGGGTTCGGTCGCATGCCCAGGTTTCCTGGTGGGCGAGGCGCCTCAGGCAGTCTTCCCTGCCATGAGAGCGGACCGCGCCGAGGAGCCTTATAACACTTGTTTAAAATACGGGCTTTTGACAGGGTTTGGGCTCTAGGTCCGACTTTCTTGGCATGTGATTTCGCTAGCCAGGCAGATTCGTCTGAGGATGATGATGACCAAGCAAGGGCCAACAGTGATTGAGAGCCTTTGCTCCAATCAGGTTTCAAAGCTGCTCAGATGGGGGTGTGGGTCTTCATCGAGGGAACCTTTGCAGAACTGCGGGGGCAGATGGTTCTCTTGCCACCCCTCATCTGAGCTTCTTTTGAAGTGGGATCGAGCGGGTCACAAGAACCCTGCACTTAAGGAGGATGAGTCTCACCTGCCAGCACAACATGACAGCATGTAGCAAGCGTGATTAAGGAGTTGTGCTGGCGAAACGGAGGCAGTCGCTAGCAAGTCTCCCTGCCTTCACCTGGCTGAGCAGCGTAGCTCTGCATTGTCAGATCCCCTGTGCTTTGCGCCGTTACATTGACGCATGCACACACACATATGATTTTCTAGAACTTCCTGTGCAGCTGGGCAATGAAATTAGGCCTCTGGCCAGCGTAATCAGTTTACGCTGCCCCTCCACACGAAGACCGATGTGCAGGATAATGCCAGAGCAGAGATTTCTCACAAAGCTTTCCGACTTTGTGAATCTGTCTGGAGCTGAACAGCCGACGGGTGCGCGCCAGGGCTTTTGCAGACAAACTGGCCACATTGTGCTACAGCTTCGAGAGTCTGCAACATTCTTCGGAAAGACTGCGTTGACTCCATGGCAGCATCACCGTGGCGTGTTGCGGGTGTCGACAGCCTGAGACGCTACATGCAGCTGCAAGAGATGCGCCGTCCTGTCTCCGCAGCGCATTGAGTCTCAAAGGCGAACGATGGCGAATGTGTGAGCAAGGCAGATCAAAGACTCCCTAAGGCCGCTTATCGTAGACTAGGTGACATTAGCGGACTAGCAGTGTCCTTGCACGTAGTAGAGACGAGGCGACAGAATTGCAAAAACGACTGTGCTACCCATGCAATCTCAGCCGATGACATCCAAAGCACTTTGCAAGTGTGCTTGGCAATCGTTGCAGCGCTAGTGTTCCCAACAATTGGTCATCGCCGGCTTGCGGGACTGGATTCTTTTGTAGCTTGATGTTGGTTCAGCATTGAATTGGCAGGCACTCTCACACAGCCGTGTGAAAACAGACACGCACGCACTCACTCCCGCGCACACACGCGCGCACACAGACACACACCCACCCACGCACGCACGCACGGACGCACGCACGCACACACCCACACACACACACACACACACACCCACCCACGCACGCACGCACGCACGCACGCACGCACGCACGCACGCACGCACCCACGCACCCACGCACCCACGCACCCACGCACCCACGCACCCACGCACCCACGCACCCACGCACACACAGAGACACACACACACACACACACACACACAGAGACACACACACACACACACAGAGACACACACACACACACTGGAGTGTTCTTTGGTTTTTCGATGCTGAGATCGCCGCCGTCTTCGTCAAATCCAAGTTACTTAAGATGCAGACCAAGGGGCTGATACTAGAGGATGCTAGTGGACAACAGCGATTGTTCCAGCAAGATACAGCGAAGATAATACATGATGTAACATGTCACTGCGCAGGTACGCCGAGCTGATCAGACTCGGTATCCCATGACTGCGGTAGCATCGTTGAGTGCGGTCCCACAGTCATGCCGCACTCCCCTGCATGATGCAACAATTCTCCCTCGTGCAGTTCGGGAGTGGCCACACACACACCGCCGCAGTGCGGCGGATAATGCAAATAGGAAGCAGTGCGAACCAAGACACCTATATTCATAGCTATTTCGCCGAGGCTCACACAAGGCTAAATCTGCTGCAAGTGTCATGCATTGACTCGTAGAAAGTCATCAAACTCAAACCAAGGCACCGAGGCTCATACCCAATTTGCTGAAACTCACACGAAGGCTACGTCAGCTGCACGCATGGAATGTGTGCTCAAGCGGTCCCGGGGGAGCTTAACCAAGGCCCCGAAGCTCGTGCCTGGTTCGCCGGGTTATGTCTACTGTTCACGCCGTGCTTCGGCTCAAGGAAAGTCACCACGGCTCAAACCAAGGCACCGAGGCTTCTTCGCGGCGAGGAGGAGAAAGGGCATGACCGCATTGTCTCGAGATACTGTCGGCCCGGAAGCCAAACCGAGGGAAAAACCCCAAATTGGTGGCATCTTGCCCGTCCTCCCGTCCCGGTACCTGAAGGTGAGAGAACGAAGAAGGAGGAATCAGCAAAGGAACACAAGAAAAGGGAAACGACAACGAGAGATCCAGGGGACATATGGGTACTTTGTGACCAGCGTACTTTGCCCGGGGGCTGCGTTGGCTTTCGCCGATCATCTTTAATACTTTGCACGTAAGTGCCGACCGGGAGGTAAGCCTCATCTATTTCCTCCATTGTCCCGAAGGGATCAAGACGGTGCACCACTGGGCCCTCCGCCTATATCGGACATACGTCCGCACACTGGAGTGTTCTTTGGTTGTTCGATGCTGAGATCGCCGCCGTCCTCGTCAAATCCAAGTTACTTAAGATGCAGACCAACGGGCTGATACTAGAGGATGCTAGTGGACAACAGCGATTGTCCCAGCAAGATACAGCGAAGATAATACATGATGTAACATGTCGCTGCGCAGGTACGCCGAGCTGATCAGACTCGGTATCCCATGACTGCGGTAGCTTCGTTGAGTGCGGTCCCACAGTCATGCCGCACTCCCCTCGTGATGCAACAATTCTCCCTCGTGCAGTTCGGGAGTGGCCACACACACACCGCCGCAGCGCGGCGGATAATGCAAATAGGAAGCAGTGCGAACCAAGACACCTATACTCATAGCTATTTCGCCGAGGCTCACACAAGGCTAAATCTGCTGCAAGTGTCATGCATTGACTCGTAGAAAGTCATCAAATTCAAACCAAGGCACCGAGGCTCATACCCAATTTGCTGAAACTCACACGAAGGCTACGTCAGCTGCACGCGTGGAATGTGTGCTCAAGCGGTCCCGGGGGAGCTTAACCAAGGCCCAGAAGCTCGTGCCTAATTTGCCGGGTTATGTCTACTGTTCACGCCGTGCTTCGGCTCAAGGAAAGTCACCACGGCTCAAACCAAGGCACCGAGGCTTCTTCGCGGCGAGGAGGAGAAAGGGCATGACCGCATTGTCTCGAGGTACTGTCGGCCCGGAAGCCTAACCGAGGGAAAAACCCCAAATTGGTGGCATCTTGCCCATCCTCCCGTCCCGGTACCTGAAGGTGAGAGAACGAAGAAGGAGGAATCAGCAAAGGAACACAAGAAAAGGGAAACGACAACGAGAGATCCAGGGGACATATGGGTACTTTGTGACCAGCGTACTTTTCCCGGGGGCTGCGTTGGCTTTCGCCGATCATCTTTAATACTTTGCACGTAAGTGCCGACCGGGAGGTAAACCTCATCTATTTCCTCCATTGCCCCGAAGGGATCAAGACGGTGCACCACTGGGCCCTCCGCCTATATCGGACATACGTCCGCACACTGGAGTGTTCTTTGGTTGTTCGATGCTGAGATCGCCGCCGTCCTCGTCAAATTCAAGTTACTTAAGACGCAGACCAAGGGGCTGATACTAGAGGATGCTAGTGGACAACAGCGATTGCTCCAGCAAGATACAGCGAAGAGAATACATGATGTAACATGTCACTGCGCAGGTACGCCGAGCTGATCAGACTCGGTATCCCATGACTGCGGTAACTTCGTTGAGCGCGGTCCCACAGTCATGCCGCACTCCCCTGCATGATGCAACAATTCTCCCTCGCGCAGTTCGGGAGTGGCTACACACACACAGACAGACACACACACACACAGAAACAAACACACACACACACATATGTACACATGTACACATATACACATATACACATATACACATATACACATATACACATATACACATATACACATATACACATATACACATATACACACATACACACATACACATACACATACACATACACATACACATACACATACACATACACATACGCATACGCACGCACGCAAGCACGCAAGCACACACACATACACAAACACACAAACACACAAACACACAAACACACAAACACACAAACACACAAACACACACACACACACACACACAGCGCCGACTTATCGACTTATAAGTATACGATATGTATCGATTAAATTGTTTATCCTGGAGTTAAGTTTGTAGATATAGATACTTATATATATATATGCATATAGTCAATAGAATATGTCCAGTTTGTCCCTACTTATTTGCTTTGTTTTTTTGGGCGTTTTTCCCTGGTTCGCGCATGCATTTCAGCTAAAATTGAAGAAATTGGTCTTGCAGCCCGTGCAACAGATATTCGATAGTTGCCTGGCAGCGTTAAAGCCTCCCCGGCCACCTCGGGACGCTTGCGTGCCCCTGTCCGCCAGTTGTCTGCCAGATGTCCGGGACCATATGGGTCAAGCCATGGCTCGCCGCCGACGTCCACGTCCGCGGGGGGGGGGATGCCCGCCTGCATGGGCTTATATATGCCCGGACCCTGCGCCAGTACCATCGGGCGTCGTCCGCTGTCCGCAGGTGTCCGCGAGCCGGTCCACATATTTTCCTTGTTTTCGCATGTTTTGCTTTGCGATGCTTGCAAGACACAAAAGGTATCTCCGAATCTCTGGGCATAGTTTTCTGCCATACCTTAAGCCGTTTGCCCGCGTTTTCAAGAAAAAAGTGCTATTCATGAAAACGATTCAAAGAATCGGCGAACCTATACCAAGTTTTTTCCTACTTTAAGTGCCTGCAAAAACATGTAGGACAAGTCCAAACATAAGTTCAAGTAGTACCACAGGGTCGTATAAGCACACACACACACACACACCCCACGCCCACGCCACGCACTCGCGCACGAGCACACACTCACGCACGCACACCTGGCACTTTCCAATCGCTCGCTGCGAAGCCCAAGCAGACTTCGCGATATCTATTCGCTTAGTCCAAAACGGTTGCGGCCCCGGTTCAATGTGCAAAATGAAGTGAGGACATGGGCGCTCCGATCAGCCGCAGCATGTGCTGCAGCATCCGTGAGAAGGCTTCAAGCCCAGTTGTTCTTGTCAAGCATATTCAAGCTTCAACAGGACACTGAGGCAAGCTAGCCAAAACCTTGGCATGTATGCACTTTGAGGGCAGGTCCTGCTACCGTTTGCCACTGATAAGTAGCGCTCACCTTGGCACTTTGGACAGGATGGCCAAAGTCATGGACTTTCTCCCGATGCCCCAGAGTTCAGCCAAGCGGAGGTCGGCAACGTGCTGTACCTCTCAAGCGGTTGATTATTTTTATTTGGCCCCCTTTTGAGGACCCCCCACCTTGGGAACGCTGGCGGATCGGTTGGTTTGGATCAAGGTGAGCTACATATGGCTTCATTAATATATGTTGTATGAAGTGGAACCGCGCCTTCAGTTACCCTGGGTTCCAATTTCACTCACATTGTCTACATGTCCAACAAGCATTCAACTAGCAACCTTGGACGAGGCCTACCCTGTTTTGTAGGCAGAACGGACATATCGAAACTGGGACATCCATCTGCGAAAGCACGACGATGCGACCACAAGTCAAAACATTTGCAACTCGTGGCGCAGATTCATTGTTTCTGGGTTGTTACCTTCTGCGTCATTGAGGGCAGATGCACTGGTCTTTCAGTGCCCCCTTCCGTCACGGTCTCCTCCGGACCTTGTGGGTTTGCTAGGCTTGACAGGCCTGAAATACAATATACTTGGTACATGATGTACCCATAGGATTGTGAGATTGCCAAAGTCTGTGATAGGTCGACATGAGGTTGTCCAGTTTTGTTCTGCTTTGCTTTTTGCAACCAGCTGGAGTGTTTGTTGCAAGCAACCTTGGGAGACACTTGTCCGACAGGCCGAGATCACGCTGGCTGATCCGCGTTTTATTGCATTTGCGCTGAGCTTACTTTCTTCGATGGATGCGGAACATTATGTGCTTGTTGGACATGCAGGGTTTGCTGAGATGTCTGTAACCCACAGCATGCCATAGCAGCATCTGCAAAATGCGCAGTCGCCACCTTGGGCAACTGGCACCCGGCGGCTGGCTGTGGCGAGCTCGCATCAGGCAGGATTGAGAGGGGGCTGTGCATGCGGGGTAGACGGACAGATCGCAACAGAGTTGGTTTGTTTTTAGCAGTAGCTGGCTGCACAAATAACAGCAGGAGCTGTTGCAGTACAAAAGTGTGAGACAACGTAGTGTTTCTCGGGGCCACGAACATCTCAAGCTGTGTTCCTTGCCCTGGTGTTGCCGAGAAGCATGACGAACAGCATGTTGAAGCTTGCCAGCCACAAGTGGTTTGACATTATAGCGAAACCAAGCTTCTCAACAGTCAAAAGGTGAAGCCAAAGATCCTGGTCAACGACGCAAGTCAAAGTTCCACATACTGCAGAGTCGTCTCATGCTCTTGTGAGACACCGTCTTTTCAAAGAAACACAAGATTGCAAGGCTTTTGTGCAAGAGGGAAGGTCGTGTGATGAGCACGGATGCTAAACCAAAGGCAGAGGGGTCAAGATACAGGCATGGATCATAAAGGACAAGCCCTCAACTAGTGTTTGTTTTATGCAGCTCGGCAACCATCTGCGGTTGTCTTCTTCTAGCTCCTGATGCCAGTCATCGGTGGCTCGCTTCGACAGTTCACCTTCACTTCAGTCCTTGGATCTACTTAGGTTCACGTTTATGGTATGCTGCATTCTGGCACTGCAAAGCTTGGGACTCAGCTGCTTGGTAAGATCGGCTGCATATATTGTCAAATTTGTCAAGTCAGCTGTCGACGGGCTTGAGGCCCGGAGCCATGATGTCTGCACCACCAATGATCCACGAACTCACCCTGGAAATCCAGGAGCCAACACTTGGTGCCGGAGAAGTGAACTGCTAATCTCTGCTCATGGCTACCTTGGTCGTTGTTACCCTTTGTTGCTGCGAACTTCCTTGAACCACCATGCAAACCCCTTGCGTCCGCAGGAGAAGCATGTGGTCACTGCCATTAACTTCAAGGATGACGACTCTGCCAAATGGTGAAGCCTTCCATGTGTGCACAAACAAGTTATTCTTGTCGAAATCCTTACAGAGTAGGCTGTGCATTGGGAGCATGCTGCAGTCTGTAAACAAAGGTCGTTCAGGTATTGTGGTAGTCCCTGTGCTTGTCGCCGTGTCTTACGCCCGCCTTGAGTGGCGTTCATTGGTCTGCTTTGGGAGAGTTCCGTGATGGTTCCCGGGCTGGTGCATGTTAAGGGCTCAGGAGCTAGGCTTTCGTGGCAGGTTGGTGGTCGCCTTCGGCCCTGAGAGTGCTGCTTCAGGCCCGGAAGTCAGAGCACCTGTCAGGGCGGAAATTTAACATGTTTACAGGGCGTAGGCGTGGCAGCTGGAGAGAGATGGAGCGAGGGACTCTAGTCATGTGCTTCGTGGGTTTGTGGCTTCTCAGACTGTTCGCATCCATGACAGGGCGGAAGCACTTCATTCGAATATGGCCTGCAGCTCAGAGAGCGCTTGAATATATGTTTACTTGAGAACTGTAGACATGCCTACAGCAGCGATCGCCTGGAAACCCGGATACTTGACAGTACTCTCCGTCTGTGGCAGGAGTTGCGAAGCAGGCCAGGTGCCGTGGTTTTGCTCGACAGTTCGAGCAGCATCCCGCAAGTTCGCCAGCCTTCCATGTCTGACAAGCACGATCGGAACCATAAGGTAAGTTCTGTGCCAGTTGGCGCGCCGAACCCCGAATAATGCCTGAGCAATAATTCTGATAACCCCGTACTTGATCCTCTTGGATCCTCATCGCCTTGCCACCGAGATTCACGGGCGACTTTCCCAGTGCCCGGTGCCCAGCTTCTGATTCAAGTATGCCGCCACAAGAGGCTGCCTTATGCTGCAATGTCGCAAGCGTCTGTTAAGACAGGCAGATGCGGCACAGGTAAATGTCGCACTTCTTGGAATGTTTGCAACCATCTTTCGCACCCGCTTCAACTCAGGGTCGATTTGCCTCGTCCCCTGAGACTCGAGGACAGGCCTCTGAATATCCGCATATGCTTCATTTAATCGCTATAAAGCCTCGTCGCATCTCGTAGCATTCAGTCACGCTCAAAGTGCATTGCATGGTTTGGTGCCACGTTTCTGTGACTGGAAGCAGACTGCTGTCACCGTCAGAGTTTTGTGAGTTCATGGTCTTGAGCCCGATGCGATCCCCCGAAGTTTCAACAAAAAGGACTCTGCCTTGTCCTTGGACGTCCACGCCACAGCCCCAGGGACGAAAACACAAAGTCTCCTGCGTGGGGTTTACGTGTTCGTGCCATGCGCTACCCACAACCCAACACCTTGCCAAGCGAAAGTGTCGAGGAGTCTGACTCCGCACCGAACCCGTCCCTGGTGCAAACAGCATTTGTTTGGAAGTCTCTGGCCGTACCATGAGAGCTCACAGCAGGAAGTCCGACTTCGAGTCTTGGGCAACACAACCTGGCATGCCCATTGATGCTGTTTGAGGTGGCACCTGTGACCTACTTAGAAGCGTTTGCCTCAGGGAGCTTTCGCGCATGGCAGCGAGCGAGCGCAGCTAGTGGTCATGTCTCATGGCACGCATGTGAGTCAGAGATAGTCTCCGATTATGGACCATAAAGCCCTGAACCCTCTTCAGCGGCCCAGACGAACTCGCTGTACCTTGTCTCCTGCGATGCAGCAGGGGAGCGGAGGGCCCAGAAGCATTTTCCGAAACTACAAGTTACCAGGCCGACGTACAATGGCAAACAGTCTGCTTCACCGAGGTGCAAGGTGTTCCAGAAAAACAGGCAGGAGGAATTTGTGGCTGCAATGCTGATTATTCCTCTCGGACCAATAAGTGACTCGACTCAGGTCATGCATGCTGAAGGCCACGGCTCGGCTGCATAAGTGCTGAGCCCAGATCAGTTTTGAGCAACTGTTCATGTAAGGGCCACAGATTATTTTCCTTGGGCGGGATCACGCAGTGTTGACGTTAGAGCCAGGGGGCCTGTTCTGGACTTCGGTGTGGATAAGAACTTCATCTACTCCGTGGGGGAGGACAGAGAGTCAGCTTTCAGAGCCTGCATCCTGCCAGGACTGTGTGAAGCTTGCGTTTATGTGTGTGTGTGTGCGCTGGGACCCCTTTGGTGCAGGACCTCAACATTCGGATCTGGACTCTGTCCGATCTGAAACAGGTCGTTGTCATTCCTGCCGACCGTATCCAGGCAGGGTCGTTGATGAACGGCTGACAGCAGTTTTGGACGAGCTTTTGAAGCTGACGTGCAGCGCATGTAATTCAGCTTCAGCACTTTGCATCAGCCCCCGCATCATTTGGGAAGCCATCATTCAAAAATGAGAGGCCTTTAGGGACAAGGTTTCAGCGATGCGCCGACTTGTCGGCATTCCCTGACGCACACATGCCTCACATGTCTCACGTGCCCTTCTGGCTAGGCATCCACTTTGACTGGCCAAGAGGGCCAGGCCATTCCGTTGATGCTGCCTGCCTTGCAGGACATCTGTTGAACTCAGCTGTTGAGACTAACTGCTTCCGCTAGAGAGCACGCTGAAATCAGCTTATCCGAACAAGTGGTATGTACCGTCTTTGTCGATGTTTGAGGGGCTTCACCAAGATCATCAGACATGCACATGCTGAAGATTGCTGAAGATTGCTGAAGATTGCTGAAGATTGCTGAAGATTGCTGAAGATTGCTGAAGAAAGACTTCAGTGTGTATTTCTTGGTCATCCACGAACGCAAAAAAAGATTCTGCTAGGATGTTGAAGTGCTTCAACGAAGCTCTTCCTTGGAGGAGCCGCCTCCTCGTGAAAGCCCGCGAGGGGCCAGCCAAACCCGTGAAGATCCAACGTCCTTTCTTCAGAAAGAGACGGTGACTGTCTATCCTAACAGAGGGGCACACAACACGTGACGCAAACTCGTGTACATCCATTGCCCCAAGGTACCTTCAGCTATCTGCACTCACAGCTTTGAAGCGCCCTCTGTCGAGATGGGCCGGTGCGCAGGTGCTACTTGAAGTTCCGTAACAGTGCACGAAGTGCTTGTTCAGCTACTGTCTGAGGACGCTACTCAGTCAAAGCGCAGTTCACTATACGACGCAATCGTATGATTCACTTGATGGGACCAGGCCTCTGCCCGGAGCAATGCGCAGACTCTGCCACGTGGGGCGCTCTTTGCCTGGATCCCAGAGTTTTTCGGTGCAGCAGCGGATCATGCGTAAGCGCTTCTGTTTGAAATTGAATGGAGTTTCTGGACATGCCAAGGAATGCGACTCTTAGCCTGTTCAGCTCCGGTAAGTCGCAAGGAGAACAAGTAAAGTGCTTTGACATCTTTGGTTTGTGGCCCGTGAGGCTACAAGCATCCTCGGTTCAAGCGGGGTGGCTGTGCAATCGAGCCGACTGTAGTATCCGAGCTCGCAGCAAATGGCTGATGATGGCGACTGGAGCGACTGGCTGGAGGACAGACCAACTGTCGCCCGTCGTGAAGTCAAGGGACTTATCTTGTTGCTGTTGATGTTTGACGTCCTGTGGACCGCATCACGAATGCATCCTTCAAGCAGGCCTTTTGTTACCTAGGTCCACTTCACATCCCCTCCAAGCCAAAGGTTTCTAGCGGGCCGTTCACCTTTGCGCGCGTTGACACGCACACACACACACACTGCACCTGGGCTTTTGTCAAACAGAGTGTCTTGAGGAGGGGTAATTGGTTGGAGAAGATGGAGAGGAAAATGATTAGGAGAAACAGGTTAGGTGAAGATTGAAGGCAAAATGTTACATTAGGTACTAGGGCAATACAACCGTTTAACATGACAGGTTCATGTATACAAGCATATTTTTCGAAAGGGTCCGAACAAGAAAACCAAACCCCGAAGGCGAATTGCTGGGAGGAGCGCTGCACTATTAAAGAGGTGTGTCGTTACTTTAAACCCTAAGCCCTAAACCCTAAACCCTGAACCCTAAACCCTAATCCTCTCTGTGCATGGAGCCGGGGGATCATACTCAGATCATACTCGGCGTCAAACACTGCATCCTCGATTTGCGAAGTCCTTGAAAGCACTGAGGCACGGATGTGATGCATCTGGGTTAGCCGGTTTTAAAACGCAGTGGTTGTGTAGCTTCCTGCAGCAGCACTGGGACCCCAAGTTTTGTCTGCAAGCTTGCTATACCAAAGTCACGGCGCTTCAAAGGAACACATGATTTTCAAAAAGCTCCCAATGGTCCCAATGATTTCAGAAATTTTGTTTGTGGGCGTTTGTTAGTGCTTTCTGGCATGGGCTGATTGTGTGCATGAGCTTGCTGGCTGCTTGTTATAGTTGATAGTTGGTCTTCTTGTTGTGGTGTTGCCAGCAACGTGTAAAATGTTGTTTGCTGCCAGCTAGCCTAAGGCTGAGACAATCCAAGTGAATGAAGAGGTCATCATTCGGCCTGAGATCGCCGATGTGAATGACGAACACGATGAGGAAAACAGTCAGGACTCAGAGATGCAAGAGCAGTTCGAAGAAGAAGAAGAAGAAGATTTCGAGTTCCTGGCAGAGAGCCTACAAGAGGAGCTTAGAGCAGAAAAGGCTATTTCACAGTGGCTTCGGGAAGAGCTGGATCAGGCCAGAACAAAAAACATATCCCTGCAGCAAGAAGTCGGGCGTCTCCAAAAAAGGATGGCCAGGCTTCAGCAGACTTTGACAAGGTCACAGAGGGAGGCGAAAAACGAGTGCCGAGACTTGCAAAAACAGTGCTCCCAAGCCTCCAGTGAGACGATGGACGCTATGCGATTGGAGGCGAAGGCACACCGGGCTGCGGAGAACAGCCTGAAAGAGAAGAACAGGGCCTGCGCAGCAATGCGGAAAGCTCAGGCGAAGAGCGAACGTCTGCAGAGCCTGCAGGCAAGCCCATTCCTGAAGAGTATGAAACAGAATCAGGAGGATGGGCTTCCTATCCGGCAGATTCCATCAACAAGATTTGGGAAGCGCTATCGGCTGGCAAGCCTGAGGTTCAGTTCAATCGAGGCGATGTTACATACCGGATCAGCCTTCCAGATCTGAAACAGAAGAATACGAGAACGAACAAAGAGCGCAAGATTCGCATCGCATTGGATGTGCCACAGCACTGGTCGATCTCCGCGTGCATCGCGATGCAGCACTTCCGTGGTTGTTTGACGAGCGGAACGGATGCGGAGATCTTTGGCAGAGTACGTGTCCTTGTGTCGGAGGACATGACCCAACGCCTTGCGATGGTTGTCAAGGGTTCGGTCTTCCACCACAACACCCTGGCAGCTCCATCTCCATCTCCCTGTGATGTCTTCAAGCAGACTGTCACTGTCAAGCGAGCTTGGAGGATTGAGAACCCTCATCTATTCAAGAAGTACAGACACTGCCGCGCAAACCTGCAGGAGAAGTGCCAGAGCGAGGTTCACAACATAGACCCGCCTATAGGACCGGATTTGTTTCTGCTGGCCAAAGACCTGCTTGATCCTAACATGCCAACATCTCTCAATGAAGTCCTCCTTTTCCATGGAACTCAAGCAAGCAACATTCAGTCGATTGTTGCTCATGGCTTTGATTTCCGTCTTGCGAGGGAAGGATTTTACGGACAGGGCACATATTTCGCAAGTCAGACTTGCAAAAGCTGGCAGTACTGCGGAGACGGCGCGAGCCGCTACATGATAGTTGCGAGGGTCTTCCTCGGTAAGCCCTCCTATGCAAGCAAGGTGGAGAAAGACCGCAAGCTTCCGCCCAAAGGGCACGACTCCATAATTGCCAACCCCGGCAGAATGCCGGGACATCATCAAGGATTACAGTCGCATCAGGAGTTTGTCATTTTCGACCGATACCAGGCATATCCAGAGTTCCTTCTGGAAATGCGTTAGCCAGGCTGGAGAGCTGGAGTCCAGAAGAGGCTTTCCAACATATATAGATTGAAGAAGGCAAAATGCATGAAGATGATGGAGGGACATTCTTTAAATGCATTCATATGGATCTTCGTCTTTTGTTTTGGTAGAGCTTGTCTTGTCTGACCTCGTGTGGCCAGTTGGGCGTGATAGCACGGCTGCATCTCTGGAACCAGCGGCGCTTTTGAGAAGAGATGAGAAGAGATCTCTAGACACGGCTGAAGTGCAGCCCCGCTGGAGGTGGCAGGAGTCATGGCAAAGGGCCAGTACGCAGCTGCGCCCTCAATGGAGTTTAGGGTTAGGTACGTTAGGTACACATAGCAGGCTGAAGATGACTTTCGGCATACAAGGGACTGCTAGCTGCGAGCAGCGACCATCACAGGCATTTTACAGAGCTGAATCGCATTGTATGGGGCAGTTTGAACCAGACATCTGTCTAAGAGAGTGCTTGTTCGAATGTGTTCGACATGGCCTCAGCGAGGCCGCAGAGAATGCCGGCATCTTGATGGACTGCCAAGCACCGTTGAAGAAACTGGTTTTCGTGGAGTTGCCCGGAATTCTTGTCCTCGGAGTTGAGTTACAATTAAGCGTGTTTGCGGTATTTGCGCCTCGACGTGTACGTGTGGAAGCTTCTTGCCTTGATGCCGACAAGAGCAGCTGCTGGGACCATGGTTCAACCTGAAGCCCCCTGCCTCCTGACGAGGAGTGGAGTCTCAACCCAACACCGGTGTGCCAGAGACTTGCTTGCAACACATACGAGCATCAGGTTGTTTACAAAGATGCATCCCGCTTCTGGAACATTCTGCAAAGGCAAGTCCTGTGATAAAAGGTTTCCACACACAGGCCGGGGCCCCACTTTAAAACAAGCTCCACATGGGCCAAAGAAGATGGAACCTAGCGTGCCGCCTCGGGATATGCGATAGCATAGGAGCCAATCGACAACTCAGCAGTTGAAGCTCTTGACACTCTCAATGTGTTGTGCGTACGTGCCTGCTCGTGGGTGCAACAGTTGCTGCTTGCTTAAGCAACGCCCAGGAGTGCAATTATTGCACATGCTCGAGGCTCAGAAGGATTTCCGTCAGGAATACTGCGCTGCAATGGTCGAGGTTGAGGAGTTTCGCCTTTGGGAGTTGACGGCTTGAGAGGTTCTGCCAGGATTGGGGCAGCGGATTTATCCAGACCGCCACTCAAGGGCAGCGCGTGGGCTACTCCATTCGAAGAGTTGTTCGGGGCCTTGTTTCCCAAGAAAATGTTTAACTGAATTTTTAAAAGTCTGAGGCTGGAATCTGGCCAAGTCTTGAAGCTTCAAGGGCCTAAGGGCTCCAGGTCTTCTGATCCATCAACCTTTTGATTGTTGCCCCCTGGGAGCCCAGGCAAAATGACTTCGCATTATTCCGAGCAACCTTAGCCTTATCAGTAGGGCGTCGCTGAATTCAATTGTCAAACTACGCATAAGAGCGGGTAATGTTATGAAAGCGGGAGCCACATTAAAGTCCTTGAACACACGGAAGCCCGCTGCTCGGCCACTTCGGCCAATAGCTTTGCAGCACCACTGCCTGAGGACTTGCCGATAGCGACAAGAGCTCAGTTCAGTGCAAGATTTCGTTGCTTAGCTTGTGCGGCAGCAACTTGCGCTTGAACATGAAACGTGCCCAGACGCGCACGATCGCGCACGCATGTTCTAGCATCAGGCACTTGGAGGTTCATGGTACTTATTAACCAATTATAACTGTACTTATAACCATATTAGGGCACTTAAGGGCTGTTAAGTGAGTTATAAGTACAGTTGCAATTAGTTAGGAAGTACCATGAACCTCCAAGCAGTGCCCCGTCCAAGGACTATGGCCTATGGCCCTTGCGACAACGGCCCCCTCATAACCGCAGACATGCGGGGCCTTTGCCGGATTTGGGACTGCACCCCGAGGCACAGCTTGGAGCCGTCAACCCTGCCCCCTAAGTCTAGGGTTTAGGGTTTAGGGTTTAGGGTTTAGGGTTTAGGGTTTAGGGTTTAGGGTTTAGCTGCTGATCGCTTGGCCAGGCTGAGATGCTCCCAGCAGATCGAAGCTGCCTGCCTAGGCCTCCTGACCAGATGCGTCGAGAAATCACAGCTGCGCACTGCAGCATGTGACCAATGTGAGTGCGTGTGGTGTGGTGTCCGCAACCTTAGATGCTCATGTCAATGTGCCGTAGCGCCGTAGGAGTCGGCAGTTTCCGGCTTGCTAGTCGAGTTCGACTGGCCTTGGACCTCGCGTCTGGGATCAGGGATGGGGACGGCTTCGGAGTCCGGCTGCACTTCAGCCAGGGCGGCATCATCGCATCGATTCACTAGTCACTAGAGTGACTAGACACAGCAAGCAGGGTACAGAATGCCTCGCGAGGATCCCATGAACTATGCCGTCTTTGCGGTTGCCGGGGAGAAGAGGCATGCGCTTTCTACCTCTTCCCATTCTGCAACGCTTGCTGCTAACTTGGCGCATGCCTAATGTACGGGCACATAGCCCAGCGTATGGCAGTTTCCAATTCATTGACCCGAGTTGCTTCTCGGTCATGCTACAAAGACCGACAGCGGAAGCTGGATCGCTGTGCTCGCAGGCTATTGGTCTGGCAGCAGAGGCACGTGCAGACACATGCAGAAGACTGGAAACCTCGTGTTTGGGCGGCCTTTGTATGTGCAGAGACTGGCTGCAACATGTGAACTTCCTCGGGCACGCTCCATTGCTCGCCTTGGATACTTGCGACAGCTGCAGGCAGACGGTTGCAGCGGGGTTTCGAACCGACCTGTGAGACGTCACGGAACTCGATTTTTTGATTGAAAAGTTCAGCGTTGCGTGCGCATGTATGATATTCATGTGCATGTAGGCCACTTTTCCACCGCAGTAGAGAGTTAGTCCTTCCATGAAGCCTTCCATGAGGATTGAACGTCTGGGTGTCAGCAATTGCTATGTTTGGCTAGCGTGTCAAGCATCCTGCATCACGAAGACATGGAGAGCAGCCACAAGCCGCCTGCACTTACAGCTGTCTGCGCAGCCTGCAGGCTGTTGTGTGGCTCTGGTAGGGGCATTGGGGGAGGGGTCTGGGCCGTCGTTCGAGTTTGTCTGAGCTAGTCGGGCCCTTTTTGAGCCATGGCGTGGGACATGGGTCCTTGGCTCAGGTGCAATGCCAAAGAGAAGATTCCGGCAACATGGAGAGCTGGAGTATAGAAACGACACGATGATAATGTCAACACGATGTCGACACGACAGGGCCGCCTCACGCCATTGCCTGACAGCAATGCAGCAACACAAGGGTTCGCAGTGGAAACAGTGGAAACCCCAAATTGGAAGAGCAGGCAGATGTGCCGAAGAAAGAGCCGAACAGTATACATATACAACAAGTTCATGAAAGAGGAACTTGCACACGGAAAACACAGCGAAGCGCCAACTCCCCAGACCCTCAACCTTTATGTTTGTGCGTTTCTGCCTTCGCATTGAGCCAGTCATTATGCCGTGAGACTCGTATGCCACGCCGCTGCATCCAGCCGAGGCTTCAACATCCAATGGGCCCAGCGCATCGAGAAAGAGGTTGGTTTGATGATATCATCGCAGATTACAGCACACCATGATGCATTGTTTTGTTTTCTTCGCAGAGGCATTTTCTGACAGCATGTGCTCAACAACTAGGCTCTAGAGTGTAGGGTTTCTTCACAGAAGCAAACGATGAAAATGGAGCGGCACAAGATTCGTAATGCCGACGCATGGACTGCGCACAGGTTCAGACACAACGTCACCCAAGTGTCTCGAAGTTTGAATCTGAAAATTGCTCGCATCCAGGAGCGGAGCTTCATCAATGGAGCACAGATGAAGGCAGCTGATGCTGGTTACTGGTAGCAATGTGCACATGTGCACACACCCGCTGTCATCAAACTGGCGCCATGGCTGTCTTGGATTTACCATGTGGGAATACAGCAGGCTTGCCAAAGTTGATACTGTCTCTGCATGCACATATATACACATCTGCAGCATATGCATTTATGTATACATATAAACACTGCACCATACGCCGTGCCATTCCAACTCCGTGTTAAAGCCAAATCCGTGCAAAAAAAACTTTGCGGATAATTCTGTTTCGAAGAGAAGAGACCCTAAACCCTAAACCCTAAACCCTAAACCCTAAACCCTAAACCCTAAACCCTTCATCTCGCATCGGCTGGTTCAACAACACATCCAGCCTTGGTCTCACTTCTGTTGGCTATAAAGCCATTCCCGAACTTAGATACCATAAATTGCATCCTGCGGTATAAGATGTTCTGTTCAGAGGCGAGACATAAGCACCTCGTGTGTATATGCAGCACATAAAATGCCATGAAATCATGTATACTGTGTCGGTTCACTATAGAGTATGCATGGCTGGCTTCAGTCTGACCTAGTACCGAGGTTCATGTAAATAGTGTCCACAGTTATTGAAGTGTCGTTCAATAATTAGCCACTCAAGCACCCCTCTCAGGAGAAGATGGAACGAGCGGCCAATGAGGACATCATGCGAATTTTGTGTGAATAGCAATTGCGTTGCAGCGTGACAGCGTGTAGTTGGCCGCACGTTTTCCTAAGAATTTCAGGGCTCTTCGAGCTTTTGCCGTGACGAGTTCGGGGATACTTGCTGCTACTGCTGGCTTGGTGATGCGTTTTTTTCAACGTTGAAACGGAAGGTCCCTATGCACAGAGCCATGGAGTTGCAAAGATATCACAACATTGAGCTCTTGACCGAGAGCGGCTCCCACTAAATACCGGCAAGTGCATGCGCGTCATGCCCTACTGTGCCGGAAGGATTGTAAAGAAGCCATCGGATGATGTAGCACGGGATGGCCTAGCCATGTCTGATATGTCAAAGTAACAGAGTTCCAAAAGGCAAAATTTCTGAGAGTATAAGACCGTTTAGATACATTGTACACTGTACGCATTTCTGGTTCTCCCCTACCCCTTTTATTTTACCTCACTTCCTGTTTAAATGTAGACCAGATCAAGTTCTGTCTTACCCTCCGCCGCCTTCAGGTCCCTGACTCTTTCTCTACATTTCATTCGTGCTCAGACTGCTAGTCTGCACGTAGGCAAAGTTGTGGGAGTCTGGGTGTTCTGGAGAAAAAAACCTCAAGCGCTTGTCAGGACATGGTATTGGGCCAATCAGATCATCACATATCATCACAACTTAATGAGCCACGACAAGAAGTGCGGAAAAGGGCTACCACTCTATGAGGCATGTCCTTGCCCCCCCATCGGATCCTTGAGCACCCAAACATGGGCTTCATCGATAGGACGTGAGGCGAGCTCGACGACGTCATCGGCACAGGCCCGCCAATCACAAGACAACGTGCTGAAACTCAGTCAAGGTTCCTTCAGAGCTGCGTGGATTTTTGTGCTAGGCTCTTTTTGAATCTTTTCCGATGTGCAATGTGTTCAGGCTTGTTCGTTCATGGTCTTTGTTTGGCCATGCAGTAGCTGGCAGTTTAGCAGTTGAAAAGCTGCCTGCACGAGTGTGTTCTGTTTCGGCTGGCCAGGAGTGTCTCAAGCAGATGCTCCGAAGCATCTAGTCCGCTCTCTTTCGCAGGCCACCGGGCGTTGTCCAAATGCTCGCCCACGACTCTGTCACTTACACGTGTAAGCTTTTGTGAGACTGGCACATTCAGTTCCTCAAGTGCCGGCACGATGTTTCTTGCCACGTTCCTGCAAACCTCCTGCTGCATGTGCAGCCTTAAGCAGCATCTGCACTCGCAGGCAACTGTTGACTTGGCGCGGCTGTGTTGTTGAATCGCTATCCGGAATTTTTGCAAACAACCTTCGAAGCTCATGCTCCAGGCAGCTCTAGCATCGGCAGCGGCTCTCACTACGCTCCTTCGCCACCTTGGCACGCTTGTACTGACCAAAGCAGACACATAGGCGCTGCCGGGTTCTGTCGCGGCAGAGGGCAATACCGGCAATACCAGTGCAGCAGACGCAGGCGAGTAGCGCAAGTCGAGGACGACAAAGCCTGTCGAAGTATGTCGCGCACAGGGACACAGCGGTCTCCAAGCTAGACCGGCTAGAGTTCTGCAGCTGAGCTGACAATGACAGGGAGCTGAAGAAGTCCGCCTCAGAGGCCTGGGGTGTTGGAGCAAGATCGTCAAAGCCAGGAAGCCTGTCCTCAATTCATGCAGATATTCAGTAGGCTTTGCAGCGCCATGAGCCTTGATGTGCTCAGTGGCTTCACCCCTCGATAGCTCCAGAAAGCTGTAGATTGTAAGATACTTGCAACACAAGGTGTTGAAACACTCGTTGTCCTTTGCACGCCTGGGCGCCATTGGGCGAGTTAAGTTATGTGCGCGATTCCCTGTACCATTTCGCCGGAACTCACGTTTGGCAGAGGACAGAAATGTGGCAACTCGATAGGCGCATCCTCCCTCCCCTTCCCGCCAAAACTAAAAAAAAGTCAACACAATACCCTCGATTCCGCGAGGGGCATGAGCCAAAGTCCTGTGAAACGATAAAGCTAGAACCCCACCCCCCACCCCCCGCAAATTTGAAGTAGCAGTTACGTTAGGCTTTTTGCGGCTGCTCATGCGGCACTCTCGTCTGCGCACCTTCCCTGTCTGACCTACGTGCCTTTAACCCCGGCTTCAACAAGCGTCAACATGCTTCGCCTGCTCAGTCCGCCCTAGTGCCCGATGAGTTCAAAGCAGCGGCACACTTCCCGGCCTGCAGCCAAGCTTTACGGCTCAGACCGGGCTCCAATGTGTGTCGAATACAAAATTCAGAAGCTGCATTTAAATGGCCTCCAAGGGCAAGGACTTGAATGCTTGAAGTTGATGGTCACAGCGCTAGTAAAATTGACCAGCAATGGCATAGCATCAGAGATGGGTGGCCCAAAGTTTCAGCCTGCAGTCGTCTGTAAGGTTGTTCAGCAGAAATTTTCTAATTTTAACGCTACGCGACCCGCCTCGGCCCGGCCCAGCGCATCCGCGTGAGCATGGTGATTCCGCAGCGCCCAAGTCGCTGGACCCCAAGCAATAAGGGTTGGGTTTAGGGTTTAGGGTTTAGGGTTTAGGGTTTAGGGTTTAGGGTTTGGGGTTCCGGGTTTATGGTTTATGGTTTGGGGTTTAGGGTTGAGGTTTAGTTTAGGATTGAGGGCTTAGGGCTCAAGGTTCACGCTTTGGGGTTTAGGGTTTTTTTGGGTTTAGGGTTCAACAGACGGTTCGGCTTGGATTGATCGTATGGTTCAGGCCCCTCAGAAGGGGGGGGGCGGGCTGCTGGGAGGGGCTTCAACTGCCTCTGGTCCTGGCGAACCGTCCGCTTGCGGACCCCGGTTTCCTAGGGGGGGTACCCATTTGAGGCAAAAAAAGGGGTCCGAAAGTGGTTTTGGGTGTGGGGGGAAGATTTGGAGGGGGGTGCCTGTTCTGACAACCTGTACACCTCCGGCCCGAGGCCTCGGCGGATTTGTTCTAATTTGCAGCCCTGCTGCGTGAGGGAGTCCCGGTTTTTTACGTTCAGCATCTTCACTTCAGTTGGTCGACAAAGACCTCGTCACCGCACGAGTGAAGCCGACGACGGACGGGACCGTAGCTGCCTCGGACAAGTCACAGCGTGATAACTGCGTGACAATGAGTGTGGCTTCTATAGATCGTCGTAGAGACTGTAGAAACCTATCGTTCAGGAATTCCCTGAATTCCCCCTCTTGACTCTTACATCCTGTGAAGCATCTGTCCTGAGAAGCTCTGTGAGGCTTTGTACCTTTGGCTTCTCCACCCATTTGCAACCACATGTCAGGTGCCGAAGATCTCCTTCAAGCCGGAGAAGGTTCTCATGGCATGGTCTCGTGTTGCGACTTGAGAACAGGTTCCCGGTACTCGAAGACCTCTGTCTTTTGGGTATGGATCCCGTGCAAAAGCGTCCTTTTGCCAGGTCAAGGCTTTGTGGTGGCCCGGGAAGCAGCACTATGTGAAGTATCATCCGCAATTCTCGTTCGAGGTTGCGGGTTGGGGCGTTTCCTGGATCCGCGAATGATCCTTGGGATAGTTCCAGTTGGCCATGTTTTTGAATCTGGAACCGGGAGGGCATGTGACAACAAAGCATTCATGTTTGAGCCGCAGCTGCATGCCCTTGGCAGCAGGCGTGGTTATGGTTTGCCACACTGCCCACTGCCCATGTCGTACCATCTTGCAGTTGGACTGTGCTTTGCTTGCCGTTCCTTACTTGCCGTGCAGGATGCACCTGCATGGACGCCAGAGGACGACACCAAGTGTAACAGCTTGAACCAAACTGGTTGCGGTTGTGGCGCTTCACCTTTTGCAGCATCTCTTGGGCACACGGTCATATGCGTTTGTATGTGTCTGACGCTAGCATCCGCCAACGCTGACAGGGACACCGTGTTTATATGCTTGCAGTGCTGTGTGGTTGTCAAGAGTGAAGGACATCCTGAAGGGATATGGCATCCGGCAACGAACTCAGCAAAGCTTGCTTGCGTGATGGTTGTGTCAGCAGCCTTTCTGACATGAGCTGGCAAGGGAAGCAGTCACAAAACTGCAGCGGAGCTTGTCCAATCAGAATGCAGATTGCTCGATATGGTACGAGATCGATCATGGCTTGGCTTCGTTGGCGGAGCCTCCCGTTGTTTGCATAGTCGTAGAGTGCAGGGTCGGAAGTCAGGCGTCAACCGGGCCACTGCTGGCACCCGAGAAGTGTTGATGCGTGCGCAAGTTAACCAGACGGGCTGGGTGCATGTTGGCAGTATTTCACGTTTACCAATGCATGTGTGCGAATGACGTCAAGAATGATCGGTGTGACTTTTGTGCTTTTTCTGATCATGCTCGGGTGGCTGACTATAAGCTGGAGATGCAGAGTGATTCATTATTGACCACGGCACAAGTAAGGACATGCAGCCGTGTTTGGCGGCTGATGCCGCCCACCAGTGCCACAAGTGACCGGGAGGCATCTCGGCTCTGGGAAGCGGGACCCTGAACCCTAAAGGGGTACATGAGGCTGTGCGTCGTGTTACCTGTACCAGTCCATGGATACTTGGTTATTCTTACTCTGAACGGGATGCACAGCAGCTCGGGTGTTTCACGGCTCACATTCCGCAAAGCGGGATCCGCAAACACCACTCTTTCAAAACTAGGGTATCCTGAGCAGTTCGCGACGAGTTTTAATCCATACAGTACTTCAAGAGGACATTCTGCCGGAGAAATGACCCATTAATAGCATCAAGTCAAGGACTGGACCCATCGGAGCAAGACCTGCAACAAACTTGAAGGAGATACTACCCTGCCTAAGCTGTCAATGTGATGTGCGCATCAACAAGTATTGAGTTTACGAAGATGTATCCAGACATCTTCGCAGCTTAAAGCCTGAGGGTGCAAGTGATAATGAAGAAGGCAAAAGGACTCTGCCATCTCTTCTGCCCATCTCCCGTCCATTTGTGTGGTATACTTTGCAGATTCTCCGATTCTCCCGTGGTTGGTGCTTGCTGAATCAAGGAGTAAGCTCAGCCCTGGGATACTGTACCTTCTTGTTGGCGCATTCCGCTGCTCCTGCCATGCGCCTCGCCATTCTGCTATGCGCCTTGCACAGTCAATGGGCCGACTTTTTTTGCGATATGAAGTTCAGGTATTGCCAATTGTGACGTGAAGCATTTGCTTCGGGATGCTTGGAATTTTCAGGTGGGTTTTGCTTAGGCTTTGCACATCTTTCTACGTTCGCAGCTCCGTGCAAGAGCTCCCAGGTGGCTGTCTGGCTATAGCGCTTGGGCATGAAGGCAGCGATGTCTCCGAGGTTCCGAAGGATCCTGTTGAGGTGTGTTCGGAGCACGATGATGCCGATGACGCCGCCCTTTTTCAATCTATAGGCGGCCCGCCCATGGCTCGTTTGCCGCGATCCACGAGCCCTGGATCCAAGCACCGGAGGAAACACGTCGTTGTCAAGAAGGTCCTGCAAGCTCATCGTGGGAAGCACAGTCTGCAACGTGCGCATCATGGAATGATGGTGTCAGGGCCTCCTGTGTGGCGTTGAAGTGCGCAGCGGCAGTGCCAGGGATCAACTTGAGGGGCCTTAGGATGTTAAGTTCAACTTCTTATGTCAGGGTCGCATCGCTCAGCCGAATGCTTGTCTCATGCGGATCCTTTGAGTTAAGGGCTGGCGGTTAAGGGCTGGAGAGCTCCAGCCGTCTTCGGCCCGTCAAATATAGAATCTGTGCACAGGCTGAATTTGCCTGCTTCGATTGTACAGCATTGGGCTGGAAGACCGCGCACCTGGCTCCTTGGATACCTTGGAGCTTATGTGTGGAAAAGTTGGAGCTCCATGCCAGATATCCCAAGGCCGAAGCTTCCATGCAGCGCGAATAGCGGATGTGCAGTATCAGAGCTGTGTTCTATGCGTCGTTTCAATCGCAATGTCGAAATCCGGGTTGAATGAGTGCATGTCGTGTATGGTGTGCGGGCAATGCCCTGCCACTCTACACAGCCCTCTATGTCTGGTTGCTCCCCCTCCCCCCCAATGGTATCCTCATGTATCCTCCCATTGGGTCATCCCATCTCCACCCCTGCAGCATCTCCGCTCAAACTGGCCGAGTTGGCATTGACGGGTGTTCCTTTGCAGCCTCGTTGCAGCATGCGCGCTTTGGTGGTTCTCCTACTTATCCAGTCTGTGTGGGCTCAGCTTTTCGAGCTGTTCAATCCCGACACAGGGAGCACAACAGCAACCAAAGCCCTTCGCGGCAACAGCACTGCCGTGACCTCGACTGCAGTTCCTGGTGTCGAGGGACGAGTGCAAGCCCGGAGGCTGGCCCGGACAAATCGGAAGGGCAAGAAGCGATCAAGCCAAAACTTTGTTGATGAAGAGCAGGGCAATGGCAAGGGCGCCGTGGATGAGAAGAAGGCGCAAGCGGCCGCTGCAGGGGCAGCAGTCTTCGTTGCTGCAACCTTGGGCAACGACCTCCTTAAACTGAGCATGGGCATGGACATTTATGGTGATCCCGAGGAAACCGATGACGGCATCTTCGCCGCTCCTTTGTACTTCCTCGACACCTTCCATGGGTTGATGACTGACGCCGCCTGACGCCCACCTTGGAGCTCAGTTTTGGGTTCTAGGTACAGTGGCGCAGACCGTTATGGACCATTTCGGCGTCGACTTGGGCAACGCGCAGCTCGGCATACGATTCCTATTCCTATTGCTAGTTACTGCTAGTTGCCACTGCTATACTGTGGCCAGTCTGTGGCCTGCGTGATGGGGGTGTGGCAGCCAAACTGCGAATGCTTCACGAGCAGTAGCTTCATGAGCTTGAAGCAGCCGAGGGAGCAGGAACCGGTGACAGAACTTGGCATGAAGGTCTACGTGCAAGCAGAGCTGCGTGGAACATCTTAGTGTAGGCACGTAGTCGCAGAGAGAAGGCAAATATTCTGCACAAGACATGGGCATGCTCTAAGGCTGCGCAAGTTGGAGGAATGGATTATGGGCGAGGTGGAAGAGTTGATTGCGGACCTCGTGGAAGATACCAGTGCGGAAATCGAAGAAGGGCGCTTGGAAGATGTTGCTTTCGAGTGGAAGAAAATCGCCACAGACATATCAAAGGTGGGCGTTCTCGCGAACAGCCTATCTCCGGATGCTGCGGCAGGTTACTTGCTTTCCTTGGAGAGGGACATGGCTCATCTCCCGAGGAAGCTCTTCCTCCCTTGCATACGCAGCGAGACGGGCAAGCGGCGCTTTTGGGGGAGTGCCCACTGCCAGCAGTACATCAACCGCCCAAACGTTGCCTCCTGGTTGAAAGCGGCCAAAACTTGACATTTGCGACCAACACTGTGTTTTTCTCGGCATGTTAATTAGGCACTACACGTAGTGTTAAAGAGCATTAAAAGTTGCACTTCCAGTGCGCTACAGTATAGTGTTCCACCCTGTTTGGAAGGGGCCCCCCTATAAAGTCAATTTGGCTGGTTCGGGCACCGTAAGAAAATTCCACGCGTCGCGCCTTTAAAATCAATTGCCGGGCATCGCTACCCCTTATTAAACTCCTCCCTTGATATAAAGCCGCGGGAGCGTTTAAACAGGAGCAAATCCAGCCTCGACTGCCCAGCGGGGGGGGGGGGTGGACCAACACTAAAGAGGGTACAAGATTACCTCCTTTACCAATCAAGCATGTTATGCTTTCTGGGCTTTCCGCTGGTAAGATAGAGCTATAGACTACAAGCATGTTGAATTTCAGGTGACGACACTCCTATCGATGATGAACCTGCACATCACCATCTTCGACGGGCTCCGAAAGGCTGTAAAACCCTAAACCTAAACGCCCAAATCCCAGATCCCGATCCCACCTCCTACATGTACTAAACCACGAAGGCCTACCGCCGGCAGCTGCAGGATCACCGGGACCACCTCTTCCATCAGGAAGGTTGCGCTTGAGCCCAGAGCTTGTGGACATTTGAGGGCATGTTCTATTCTGACTCACAGCAGTGCGCTAGCGTTCATCGTATGCTCTGGTAGGATATTCTATTTGTTTTTTGTTTAATGTCTATATTGCAACATACATACTACAGTAGATGCCAGTATGTCGACTGCTCAAAAGCCAGGACTCTGCAGCAGCTGCATGGATGGTCGATCGGACATTGAGCGCCAACTTCCGCATGATTGGCTGTGATGCCCCGCCCCTTGGACTCCTCGGGAACATGGCAACTGTACCAAACCCCAAAACTCTCCAAAAAACCCTCGACTCCAAACCCTGAATCCTTCTGCAAGGGTACAGCCTACGGACTAGAGTATTCCGGCAGATGAAAAATTCCTGAAACCTTTGTCTCTTCAAATTAGAGATCCCACCCCACTTGATAATAAATGCGTGGTCGAATTCGACCACCTCCTGTGTGGGTGTGGGTGGGAGTCGCTTCTGGCAAGGACCGGACTGTCTTGGAGTCTGCGAACTGTGGAAAGTCTTCGCACAATGCTTTGTCTTGGCCCTTAACTTGATGAGCCCAGGAAGATGTATCCATGGTGATTGTTGAGCGACACTAAACCCTAAGCCCCTGAGCTCTAGACCCTAAAATGATAACCCCGGATCTTCAACCCAAACTCCAAAGACCCTGAGCCTAAACAAAGACGGGGAGGGGAAATAAAAAACAGAATTTGACCTCTGTAGCCCAGGCTGCGCGAACCAGGCATCCAGACCTTTAGAAGCAAGAACTCGGAGGCCTTGCAACTCCAGGGGCACGGGGTATTGCGTGGTTTGCGGCTAGGGTTGGTCCAGGGCATCGGGCTCAGGCTTCCTGATTGGTTCGGGTTGATGTTTTAGGGTTGGTTCACTATGGATTTCTTACTTAGATTGAGAAGTAGGGTTTAGATGGAATATTCCAGCGCGGGTCTTGGCGTGGTGGTGATTGAGCTGAGGCATCACGTCATGAGTGATCTTCCTACAGGTTTGCCTCACACACACACTTATGAACAAAGGCACTGGGCTGAGCTCTAAATCCGAAGCACCATCCTGAATGCTCTGCGTATCCCCAAATGCCTTTCATCTCCAGGCATGTCCGGCGTACTTCTTGCTTTGCGTATCAGCCTTTCTGTAGGGCCATGCTTCCGTCAGAGTAAAGACCACAGCACCGGATGAAGTCCGGATCGAAGAGAAACCTAATGGCATGTATTTTCGCAGTATTGATGGAACACGAAAACAGAACCTACCATTACTTTTTGGATCAACCCCAAAGCCTACAACACAGGCAGGCGCACAGGTTGAAGAGATGTTTGCGGTAGTAGTAGTGTAAGGTGCTGAGTGCTTACGGTCTCTGCCCAACGTACGGTGTGGCGGTTTGGGGTCAGGGTTCGTGGTGCGATGGGCCGCATCTGGGCAGTCGTTTTTCTTCGTCAACGGGCCCTGACGGAGAGGCCCAATTGATGACGGACATGGTCGCGTTTTGCGAGGCAGGGCCTGCCACCTCTCGGTGTACTGTATGAATACTGTATGATGGTTTGCTTTCCCGGAAGATGTAGAGAGTAGATTCCCCTTGACGTACTAGGGGTTCTACCTTCTAGATCCTTCCGGCGGTCTGGGCTTGCAATACCATACATACTGTACAGTGATAAGGGTGCTACTGCCCCTGGTTTTCCATGTCGAGATTCAGCAAGACATGCCGGAAACTTTGTTCGCAGCACGTGGCGGTTTCCAGAAACCAGGGCTTCTATTTTGACTACGAAATCTTCTCACATGTGACTGTCTTTTTCTCACTTGTGACAATAAATTTCTCTCACCTGTGACTTTGTTCTTGTTTTCTGTAAACTCACTTGCAACTATGAATTCAAAAAGCGCAGCCCCCGGTCTAGAGGGTGAACAAAAACTCACCTGCGTCGTTTTTGTTTTAGTGACTTACTTGTGACTTACTTGTGACTTTGGCGGGGTGGAAAGGCGGTGGGTGGGGAGAGGGGAGGATGATAGTGTCAAAGGCGGTGGGTCCGGGGAGGGGGGAGGGGTGGGGGAGGGAGGGGAGAGCTGGTTGGTGATCCCTGGAAAGCAATTGGGAGAAGGCACACACGGGGGCGGGGTTGGGAGGTGATAGTGAGGAACACAGGCGGTGGGCGGGGGGGTGGGAGTGATGTTCCTGCCGACCTTAACCCTGAACCCAACAAGAAACACTTAGTGTGTTGTACGAGGCAAATGCTAAATGCTCGTGTTTTGGGCATGGTCGCGGTAGCAACGCGGGTTCTTCCCCCTTCCCCACGACACAAGAAAGGAAAGACAGAAAGGAAAACAAATGCCATAAGCTGAAAGAACACAAGGAAAGAACCAACACAAATGAACAACGACACGCAGAAACACTGCGCAGAAAGAAGGACCAAAATGACTACAGGAATGACACTATAAAGACAGACAGGCCGACATAAATTGAATCAAACATTCCACTCACGAAGAAGGGAGCCAACAACAAGAAGATCCAAAGAAAGAAGCAAACAACAAAGACCAAAAAACAACAAGAGAAATAACGACAACAATGATGAACGTGCTAGCAAAACGCTCTTTTTCCAGTGAGTTTACCCTCTGTGTGCAAGAAAACGTCACAAGCGAAATGCAGCCACATGCAGCTCTTTCAAAAAGTGCGAGAAACGAAGAACAAGTCGCGCACGTCGTACAAACACTATGCTACACTCACCCACAGGTTCCGACTTACTACGTCCTGACCCACATCAGTGACGACAACGTGCAGAGCGAAAGCTTCAGCACCGAAGCCGAAGCCCGGGCACGTTTTAATGTTCTGGATAACGGCGCGATAGCTGCGATGCTCGTGGATGGCGACTTTAACGAGCTGGACTTCTATGCCAACAACAGAGGTGGGCCAGTGTCCCGATGTGCGCTTCATGTTCGAGCGCCATGATCTCCTGCACTTTGCATTGCATGCGTGCAGGACCCGTCCTTGAGGACTTTCGAGAGTTCTGGTTAAAGACGTTCCAGGTGTGGCACACTGTCTTCATCAAAGAAACCTACACTGACGTTGCTGTTTTCAGGATTCAAGCGCCAAACCGATGTAATTCCCAACATGGAAAAATTCCGTCCGTGTCTGAGAGCATCGATGCCAACATGCGTCCGCCCGCGTGCCCTCAGAGCATCCATGCCCACGGCGAATCCTGATGGCATGTACCCCCTTCCTCTATGGTGGCTGGGGTCTATTTTGGGGCTCCCCTATTTCGCAAACCCCCCTATATTGGACCCCCCATCCCACCCCCCCCAACGTTAAATGTTCCCAATGCAATTTCGTGGGTGGGGAGGTGTAATTCCAAGGTTAGGGGGTCATGTTAGCATGTGCCAGCGCCCAGCACCGCAACATCATCAATCCGCAACAGCATCCGCGCAGCGGTGCATCCATGCCCACACCATCACCCTGTGCACCCTGAGAGCATCCATGAAAACATTCGTTGAGCAGTGCATCCATGGCTCAGCCACAATGACACCATATGACACCAATTAGTGAGACCGTGAAAATTATCGCGTCTCCTGCTCCAACCTAAGCAACATCCGTCCCCCAGATCATCATCTAACATCGCCCCCGACAGCAGAGCATCTGCTAACCACGGCATCCATTATACTCATAATGTTACGGTGATGTGGAGGGCTGCCAACCACAAATCCAATTGGAGGTAGAATGGGGCAGATTTATTCCGGTTGTTCAGGCTACGGACGTTTCAATGCGGTTGGGGGCTGGGGCGACTGAACGCTCGAAGGCTTAGGCGGGTTGGAGGGCAAGCTCCAAGGTTAACCCCAACCCCCTCCAACCCCTTCCAACCCCAAGACCCACCCTAAGGCCCCCAATTGCAACCCTAAGGCCCTCCAACCCTTCGAACCCTCCAACCCCTCCAACCCTTCCAACCACAACTGCCTCGGAGGTAGTATGCCGTATCTGTTTTATGTTTTAAATGTCCGGGAGTGAGTTTTAAGCGTATCCGTATGACGTCCGTCCCCGAGCAGCATCTCGCGCAAACCCGAAGAGTGCCCATCCGCAACCGACTCCCCCAATTGTCGGAGGCTTGCTGCGTCGCCCCATGCCAGCGCTCCTGCCAGAAGCAGTCGCACTTGCAGAACCCTGCACTTCCCGCCGTGTTGTCGAAGTATGCGGAGGTAATGGGGGAGTACGAGGACTTGTTTGGGAGTGATGCTGTGGCTCTCATCCTGCAGGGATTGCATTTGCCCCACTCTACTCCCCTACCCTGCCTCGGAGGAGCTGTTTTCCCACATCTCGCACAGCTTCATTTATGCTCAGAAGGGATCAGCCCATGCCGGTCATGAGAATCATGAGAAGGTCTTAAGCGCGAAGAAGCTTCTTGCGCCAGCCACTGGAATGTTCACGCAGGAGGAGTTCTGGTATTTTGAAGGCGAGGACTTGGCCAACCTGGCGAGTGATGGCTTCCGGCTGTCGCGCTCGTCCGGCCATGGCCGCTTGTTCGTGCTCCTTCCGACTGGGGCTACGGTGCCAAGTCCCCAGATCAACGGTGTCCCATTGACATCCCCGTATGGTACCGTCTATGGTGACCAAACTCTGCCTGTGCCTCTCATGTGGGACTTCAAGCTTTCAAGTCACACCCTGAGAGTGACAGGCTTGAACTTTCCGGCCCATTTGCAGATCACGTCGTCTTACCAGCCTCTCCTTGCCTGGTCGAGCAGCCAGCTTGAGCACAGTTGCACCACGGAGGCTGCTGGCTACCTGAAATGCAAAGACAAAGCGCTCAAAGTGAAGTTTCCCTCTGGGGCGACAAAGGTGGACGTCACCTTCTTCATGCGGGCGCGCTGTCTTGGCTCCCGCGATTGTTCCGACGCGAGTCCCGCTTGTGAAACCACGAGCGACGTCAGAGCACAGTATCAAGACGAATGCATCAATCACCTCCCGTCCTCAGGAACCAAAGTTTCCTGGGCAAATGAGTTTTTCATGCTGGACGATGCTTGGTGTCTTGCAAGCAACGATGCCGACTATGATTATCTTTGTGACGACGTCGATTCCCCGCCCAAATTCAACATTTTCACAGCCAGCTTCGGAGCAGGAGACAACAGACAAAACGTGGTTGGTGCCGATGTGTGGCACAAATACCACATCTCCATTCGAGGCAGGAAGCACATGGTCTATATAGATGACAAATTCCAGGGAGGGCGGTGGTCTCGGTCCGCAGGTCATGATGGGCAGATCGTGATTGATGCAGCGTACAATGAGATCCACGTTTGGGGCTTGACCGTGTCATCGAAGACGCCCGTCATCCGAGTCGCCGATATCCACCACAAGGACGAGTCGTCTGCTAAGGGTAGGTACTTCAATTTCAATGCCGACGACTTGTGGATCCAGGAAGATCAGTATGAGAATGGTCAGGAGCAGTTCGATGCACGTGTCCAGCAGTGCCAATTCGACGAGGCCGGGGACCCGTTCGAGGACTTCACGGAGTTCAATGACCGCGAGCTCACGGTGACAATCGATGGAGTGGATTCTAACGATGTTGTGGCGCATAAGTGGACTGCCCATGGCAAACAGAAATGGAATGAAGGTGACGGCCAGTTCCGTAGAGGGGACTTGCTCCTCATGGACCCTTCGTTGAAGTGCCCAGCCTGCAAAGACAACTTGGGCGTGCGGGCCTGGAACCTTCCCTGCGGCCAACTCTCCCATGCCATCCATGTCAAGGACACCCAGCATGTTTCAGGCTATGTGGACATGCACTTCTGGTTCGACAACATGCCCGCGGACCTCTTCGGCTACAAGGGCGAGAGCGAAATTGTAGGCACGGTGCGTCAATGCCGCTACAATCCGACCACTGGCGGCCCTATCAACGGCCCCTTCCACAATGCCCGTGTCGATGTACGGGTTTGGACTCAGGTGCCGCACGGACGCAGGGAGCATGATCCAGCCGAGCACCAATTCCTTGTGGATGACTTCCTCCTCACCGACCCCAGCGTCACATGCCCCAAGTGCAGATGGATTTTGAACTCCCTCAGGGTGCTCCATAATCGGCACGATGGCTATGGCAGCTACCAGAAGGGCATCATCTTCAGCTTCGATTCCGGCATCGCCATTCCTCATGAGGGACATCAACGGGTGAGGCTGTGTCGCTTCAAGAACACGGCACACCCCTTTCACAACACCCCGAGGTGGGTAAAAATATGGAACGGGCACGCAGCCCCGGGCCAGCGTGGTCCTGGAAACCGTCATGGCCTGAATCTTTATGGAGCTGGCG